CTCGCCCCCACCTCACCCCCACCTCACCCCCACCTCACCCCCACCTCACCCCCACCTCACCCCCACCTCACCCCCACCTCGCCCCCACCTCGCCCCCACCTCACCCCCACCTCACCCCCACCTCACCCCCACCTCACCCCCACCTCGCCCCCACCTCGCCCCCACCTCGCCCCCACCTCGCCCCCACCTCACCCCCACCTCGCCCCCACCTCACCCCACCTCACCCCACCTCGCCCCCACCTCGCCCCCACCTCGCCCCCACCTCACCCCACCTCGCCCCCGCCTCGCCCCCGCCAGGTGAAGCGCACCGACATCATTTTCTTCTGCTCGCCCAACAACCCCACCGGCGCCGCCGCCACTCGCGCCCAACTGACCGAGCTGGTCAACTTTGCACGCCGCAATGGCTCCATTCTGGTGTACGACGCGGCGTACGCACTGTACATCAGCAACCCGGACTGCCCCAAGACCATTTACGAGATCCCCGGTACGACACACTGGATGAGCACTTGATCGAGCCCAGTGGGCACCTCGGGGGTTTTGTTTAGCCGTGAACAAAAGGGGGGGGGACAACGTCAGGGCGGTCTCAACTCGTTCACACCGAGGGACATTGTTTCCGCCACTCCATTATATTACCTACGTTGATATGAAAGTTATGCATCCCGCTTGGGCCCCCCCTCCCTACCCATCCCTCCCTACCCCTTCCCCCCCAGGTGCGGAGGAGGTCGCCATAGAGACGTGCTCCTTCTCCAAGTACGCGGGCTTCACGGGCGTACGACTGGGCTGGACGGTGGTGCCCAAGGCCCTCAAGTGAGCTCAGTGGGGGAGGGGAGGGAGACCCCGAGTTGGAGAGGGGGGGGCCCACTGGGTTTTGTGGCACTGCCCGGGGAGCTGAACTGCCAGGAAGGGGGGGAGAACACGCAGCTGGAAAAGGGCGGCGAGGGAACACCCCCCGCCCCACCCCCTGGTCTCCCACTGCCACCTCGGTCTCTGCTGCTGTACTAGCTACCGAAGTAAGTAACCTCCTTGTTGATGGATTTCCCCCTTGTCGTCGTACAGGTACTCTGACGGCACCCCGGTTCACAACGACTGGAACCGCGTGATGACGACGTGCTTCAACGGAGCCTCCAACATTGTGCAGGTGGGGGTTAGGGGGGTTTGAGGAGGGGGGTAAGAGGGGGGGTAAGGTAAAAGGGGGGTTAGAAGAGCACTTCGGTTAGGGACACACACGCACATGTGACACCTTGATCAGGTCCTCTAGCTCGACCAACATCCGGTCGTGGGGTGTATTTGCGCGGAGGGGACTTCCGCTCACTGGTGCAATGGGGGGGGTGGGGGAGCGGTGGAGGGGGGGAGGGGCCCTTACCTGGTACATTACCTGCTGGGTTTGAATTGGCTGCTTAAAGACGCCCCTCGCCACGGACAGCCCCCTCCCCCCGGGGGGCCCGGGGCCATTTCACTATCCTGGCCGCCACCCGGGCGCAGCTGATGTTGCTGATGTGTAGATGGGTGTCCGCTTACTGGCTGACATGCCCCCGCCAGCCCTTTCCACACACCAAAGTGCGGCCCCCCCCCGTTGCTCCCCTGTTCAGGCGGGTGGTCTGGCTTGTTTGCAACCCGAGGGTTTGAAGGAGATGTACGACATGATTACCTTTTACAAGGAGAATGCCCGTATCCTCAAGGTGAGGGGGGAGAGGTGAATGGAGGCAACGGCCAACTGCTGTACCGTACCTCAGCGGGTTGGGAGTTAGGGTTATGCTGGGGGGTTGTGAAGGGGGGGAGGGCCCACCGCCCTTCACCCTTCCTTGACCGAGATCCCCGCCATCGGCCGCCTAACCATACCCCCCACCTCCCCTACTTCCCCCCTCCTCCTCCAATGCCCGGCTGTGTTTTCTCTCCCCACCTATTTCCCAGTTTTCACGTGACCCTCTTCCGGCTCCCCCGCCCCCTCAGGGCCCCCTCTGCCGCCTACGGGCCTAACACGGCCCCTGTGAATTTCCACACTTACGGCTCTCCCCGCCCCCTCAGGGCCCCCTCTGCCGCCTACGGGCCTAACACGGCCCCTGTGAATTTCCACACTTACGGCTCTCCCCGCCCCCTCAGGGCCCCCTCTGCCGCCTACGGGCCTAACACGGCCCCTGTGAATTTCCACACTTACGGCTCTCCCCGCCCCCTCAGGGCCCCCTCTGCCGCCTACGGGCCTAACACGGCCCCTGTGAATTTCCACACTTACGGCTCTCCCCGCCCCCTCGTTCCGTCCCTCCCATACACACTCTCATGCAACCACTACCCTAACCTTTCCCCCTCCCCCCCCCTCCCCCGCATACATACATACCCGTACACAGGATACCTTCACAGAGATGGGCTTCAAGGTGTACGGCGGTAACGATGCGCCGTACATTTGGGTCGGCTTCCCTGGTGAGCCATCCTCTGCACCCACGTGTAGCTGTTGCGCTGGCTGACACGTCAGCAGGCCCTTGTTGATGCGGACATACATACATACATACATACATACATACATACATACATACATACATACATACATACATACATACATACATACCCAACCCCCGGGGCTACTAAGGGGTGCGAGGCCCTCACCACCTGGTACCCGCACTCCGGTGACATCCTGACAGGGGAGAAAAGAGGGGAGAGTTACCTGACGTTATTTATGTACGGTGTACGGAATATAGACTTGTCCTCCCTCCCTAGCTCTCATCCCCATCCTCGTACTCATTTCCCCCTCTACCCCGGCCCCCACCATGCCCAGGCAAGCCCTCCTGGGACGTGTTTGCCGAGATCCTGGAGCGCTGCAACATCGTGACCACACCGGGCAGTGGGTTCGGACCCGCGGGGGAGGGCTTTGTGCGCGCCTCGGCGTTTGGAAGCAGGGAGAACATCCTGGAGGCTGTACGGCGGTTCAAGGAGGCGTACGGCAACAAGTAGAGCTGAGGAACAGTATCAGGATGAAACCTAGCTAATAGTAGCATTGAGGTGGCTGAGACGCGGCTGAGGAGGCCGGGAGGGGCGGCAGTGGGGCGTGGAGACGGGGATGTCGCCCCCTGCGTGTGTGTACGTTACAGCTACAATTACAGTGTCCACACAAGTGTATGTATGTATGTATGTGGCCCGAGTGCCCGGGTCGGTGTGTATGTGTGTATGGAGATGGTGTTGTGCGGCGCAGGGGGCAGGCGTTGGATGCCAGGAGGGGACGAGAGGGGATATGAGTTGGCGAGGGTGGGCCGGGGAGTGTCCCTCCGCCCGCCCGGATACCCCCCGCACCCGGTTACCCCCCACATGCTATCTGGTTGGCGGACCGACTGACAAAGCGGCGATGTGCGGGATTAGCGGAGGCTGTCTCTGTCCACCTCCACTGCACTGAACTGAACTGCGCTGCCGGGGGAGTCAGCGATGCGGGCGATATGTGTGTATGTATGTATATTGACGTGTATTTGCGTGTGGTTGGGGGTATGGATTAGGAGGAGTTGTGGTCGTGCGTTTTTATGTCGTACGGGGCGCTGTGCGGCATTCCTGGAGGGTGGAGTCTGGCAATGCAGATGCCTCGTACGGCATGTGATTAGGGGCGGGGAGGGGGAGGGGAGCGGTGTGTGTGTGTGTTTTGCGAGCCTTG